ACATGTACAGAGAAAAACTGTCTCTGCCCTTAACAGGTACATGTACAGAGAGTACCTGTCTCTGCCCTTAACAGGTACATGTACAGAGAGTACCTGTCTCTGCCCTTAACATGTACATGTACAGAGAGTACCTGTCTCTGCCCTTAACAGGTACATGTACAGAGAGTACCTGTCTCTGCCCTTAACAGGTACATGTACAAGGAGTACCTGTCTCTGTTCTTAACAGGTACCTGTACAGAGAGTACCTGTCTCTGCCCTTAACAGGTACATGTACAGAGAGTACCTGTCTCTGCCCTTAACAGGTACATGTACAGAGTACCTGTCTCTGCTCTTAACAGGTACATGTACAGAGAGTACCTGTCTCTACTAGAACTGGTACATGTACAGAGAGTACCTGTCTCTGCCCTTAACAGGTACATGTACAGAGAATACCTGTCTCTATTCTATCAGGTACATGTACAGAGAGTACCTGTCTCTGCCCTTAACAGGTACATGTACAAAGAGTACCTGTCTCTGCCCTTAACAGGTACATGTACAGAGAGTACCTGTCTCTGCTCTTAACAGGTAAATGTACAGAGAGTACCTGTCTCTACCCTAAATGGTACATGTACAGAGAAAACCTGTCTCTGCTCTTAACAGGTACAATGTACAGAAAGTACCTGTCTCTGCCCTTAACAGGTACCTGTACAGAGAGTACCGGTCTCTGCTCTTAACAGGTACATGTACAGAGAGTACCTGTCTCTGCCCTTAACAGGTACATGTACAAGGAGTACCTGTCTCTGTTCTTAACAGGTACCTGTACAGAGAGTACCTGTCTCTGCTCTTAACAGGTACATGTACAGAGAGTACCTGTCTCTGCTCTAAACAGGTACATGTACAGAGAGTACCTGTCTCTGCTCTTAACATGTACATGTACAGAGAGTACCTGTCTCTGCTCTAAACAGGTACATGTACAGAGAGTACCTGTCTCTGCCCTTAACATGTACATGTACAGAGAGTACCTGTCTCTGCCCTTAACATGTACATGTACAGAGAGTACCTGTCTCTGCCCTTAACAGGTACCTGTACAGAGAGTACCTGTCTCTGCCCTTAACATGTACATGTACAGAGAGTACCTGTCTCTGCCCTTAACATGTACATGTACAGAGAGTACCTGTCTCTGCCCTTAACATGTACATGTACAGAGAGTACCTGTCTCTGCCCTTAACAGGTACATCTACCATGAGTATGTGTACCTGTTCTTAACAGTTTATTTCAGAGTGAAATATCAGGTCATGGCCAGCTGAAGTTTGAAAGGGTCAAAATAAGGGTCTTGTGTGCACCAACCTTTTCTTCATTATTCATAATTATTATAGTTGATATCTATTATACCTCTTATTCATAGTTCAACAGTAAATGTTTGGGTTTGAAACAAGCAGATTTTCATTTTAAAGTAATCTTCCACCAGAATTGTTTTTACACTTTTTTTTTTTTCAATAAATGACTACTTCTTTATTTAATTTCCATTGATCTAATGTTTAAATCTTGACAATTAAAAATGTACTGATGAGTTCATAGATGCTTATTCGACAAGTGTGGAAATTCATATCCGATGCAGTAATGTAGAGTGGTTCTGATGTATAAGGTGACTGATATGATTTATCTCAATATTTGATGTCTCAGTCTCTCTTAAGTATTAAGGATCATATCAAATTATATGTGCACTTCTATATTCTAATTCAAATTAAATATTGAATTGATAAAAAAAAATGGTTACCTGAAATATGAAACCTTATATCAATTTGTCTGAATACAGTCAACCTGTCTGTAGAAGGCTTCATTCTCAGGGGGGCAGTGAATAGTTGGCTTTACTGAGAGGTTCTATACCTAATTGAATTGCATTATCTAGGAAACCAAAAAAGTGTCCTTTATAGGCATGTAGCCTTTGTTTCAAGGTATCTGTGACAACAGGTTTGACTATCGATACTGATACGAATGTTTTGACCTGGATATCATAATGGCGCAAGAAATTGTAAAGCTCAGCAGACAACAGTATTGTCAGAGAGGTGCTACAATCCTCAAACAGTTTCTACAAGCCTTAATGTCAGGAGACATTCTGTTATAATTAATAAGATAATAATGAGTCAGAATTGTTCAAATTTGTGGAAATGTCAAGTAATTCTTAACACATCTTGATTGATTGATTGATTAATTTATTAATGTGTGCTTTAATACATAACCTGTTAACCTCCGGTCAGTTTGAATCAGTGGTAGTTCAAACACAAGGATACTTTTCTTCAATTCAAACAAATTCAACAATATCTATTTAATTTTGTTCTTACTGACCAAAGGTTTACCATAACTGTTTAGTAAGAACATTACAATAGTCCAAAAACATTTACTCACAGTTGTATCATTGTTACATCAGGGGAGAGGGGAGGTTAAATTAACTTATATGTGTGATAGCTTGAACCAAGTTACAATAATGTAATGCAATATTAAAAAACTTAGTTTCTGTAGCTATAAATATATATAACCTGGGAGTAGTACAATCTTAAAGACTGATAATTAAAACAAACACTTCCATGTGAGTATTCATTTATCGATGATCAAATTTCTGATATCATCTATGTATTTGATCTGACCAAATTTATGAATGTAGAACATATCATGTTTGCTTACCTGTTTCTGACCTGATTTGTAAACAGATATTGTCTCTTTATCAGGACATGTCCTTGACAAAGATCATTTGCCTTCTAAACTTGTAGATGAGGTTAGAGGTCTTTACCACTGTCGTGATAGCACCTCTAATCCTTAAATATAGGGCACAACCACGTACCTGTTGAGTAGTGGATTTAAAAGGAAAAGAAAAAGTAAAGCATATTTGAAAATCTGTAATATGAACTGCCACGGTTATAATCATGAAAATCTTACTATTTCGTTTCCCACACAGAAAATTCATCAGTGACTTCTAAATTAAGACCTAATTAAGAAAGAGTCAAGAACGTTATCCAAGAAACACCAAAATCACAGTCATTGATAGCAACACAACATGTCCAGAAACTATCACTGTTTCAACACTAAATCTGTGGTTTAAAAAATCTATAAGATAAAAAAATCATAAATATATTTGTTTTAGAAAAACTTGAAATTACAATTAGAACAATTTACTGTGCTGTTGAAGGAGATTGTTAATCTATTATAGTCTTGTGGTGCAGTGAGTGTGTACTGGGAGTCATAATTTAGAGTTAGATACAGTAGAGTCAAACATGGAATTAAATAACATACAGCTTTTTTGTCTTTTCAAGGACTCGTCAGTGCATTAAGGGCTGCATTTCAAAGCCTAGGTGACTAATGAGGAAAATCTAAAGTGATTGAAAGAAAAATTAAAATCTGGATCGGAATGATCACAACATATAAACTGATGATTTTATAAATTTCATAATTTTTCATTTATCTCAATAATCTTAATACAGCAATAAATACATGTGTATTTTCTGAACTGTATCACTATCAAAGTTGTAGATACTAATGACATGACATTTGTACAAGGTAAAAGATTATTTTGAATACTCCTGAGAATGGGGCAGGTGTGTAGTACTGTGTACTAAATTTAGTAACCTAGACGAGAGCATAAAGGTTATAGAAGTACATGTTACTTCCTGGTACATGTTAATACATCAGAACTCTAATAATGGTCACAAGAGGGATCAGTGACTCATGTTCCAATTCAGTATTATATTTTTCTCCTTCATCATTCAACATAAATTAGTTTAAATATGTTCTCTAAAACATTAAGTTTTAAATATGGTTAATGACTGTTAATCAAATACACAGTATTTGTTCTGTTTTAGTCATTACCCTGTCATCAGTTTAATATCACCCATTACCTTGGTACATGAACTTCTATGACACATGTAATTTCACTTAGCACAATTCTGATTGGCTGAACTATGTTCCATTAGGTCCATTGTAATGCCATGTTGCTTTATTGTGTCATATGCATGAATACATTGTCACCATAACAGGAAGCTTAGATTGAGAATGTCATCTTTTTTTTATTTCATATAATATGAAATGCTCATCTCATATTTCTCATTTCGTTGCGACATTATTAACTGAAATTGAACCCTAGATTAAGAATATCACCAACTTTAATGACTTTCGTCTTTATCAACATTCTGACATTAGGCCTACCTTCAAACTCACTGGAAGCAGAGAAAAATGAATTGGAATATGTCACAAAGATTATCATTTTCATACTCTTCCCTCACATTTCTGTGACATTTTAGAACGTTGTTTTAATAAATTTTTCCAACATTGATATCAATCATCTGCCTCAACCAGAAAGATGGTTGCCATCTTTGGCTAGCGGCAAAAATCATGAGCATACCATGGTTAGATCATGAAAACTATCCAATGAAAAAAATGTGTTACTTAACCATTATTTTTTTTACCAGAGGCATGGTAAAATGAAAAATTCTATGACTCATTTCATAGATCTTCTATGAATGGAAACCCTTGCTAGATCCACAATGTTAAGGATGGTGTATATTTTGATACAAGTACCTAGCATGTTATACAGTGACTGTCTAGTCATCCAATCAGATTTCCATGTACAATAAAAGGTATAAATTCAATTAAACTTCAGATATTTTCCCAAGCATTGTGTACATTGTTTTTCCAACACCTGAGAAAAAAAGACCACTTAGGTTTTTATATAAGGTGTATTAGGTGTATTATATAAACAGTATTGTTTTGACAGAAACTGCTATTTGATTTACATTTCAAAAATCAAATGTATGGAGGAAAATATAGTAAGATTGTATTACATATTTTCACAGATGTTCACCCTCATGGGGTTTATAATGGAGAATGGCTACAAGAACGGAATTTTTACCGGTACAGCAGAATTATCACTATTAATTGAACATTTTTCTTAGGTCCTGTATACAGTAATACCTGTCTGTAAGTCAATGATTAAGTAAAATTCTTATCTTTGTCTATATTTGTTTTTATAGATGGAAGTTGTGATGGGCCAATTTTCCATCAGGATACCACACCTGAAACACTGTTACAGGTAAGTCATTTTACTTTTGACTGTAAGGAAACCACACCTGAAACACTGTTACAGGTAAGTCATTTTACTTTTGACTGTAAGGAAACCACAACTGAAACACTGTTACAGGTAAGTCATTTTACTTTTGACTGTAAGGAAACCACAACTGAAACACTGTTACAGGTTAATCAGGATACTATCAGAATATCACACCAAGGACAAGTTACAGGTAAGACAGGATAGTACCAGGATACTACCACCAGGACAGTTACAGGTAAGACAGGGTAGTACCAGGATACTACCACCAGGACAGTTACAGGTAAGACAGGATAGTACCAGGATACTACCACCAGGACAAGTTACAGGTAAGACAGGGTAGTACCAGGATACTACCACCAGGACTGTTACAGGTAAGACAGGATAGTACCAGGATACTACCACCAGGACAGTTACAGGTAAGACAGGATAGTACCAGGATACTACCACCAGGACTGTTACAGGTAAGACAGGATAGTACCAGGATACTACCACCAGGACTGTTACAGGTAAGACAGGATAGTACAAGGATACTACCACTAGGACAGTTACAGGTAAGACAGGATAGTACCAGGATACTACCACCAGGACTGTTACAGGTAAGACAGGATAGTACCAGGATACTACCACCAGGACTGTTACAGGTAAGACAGGATAGTACAAGGATACTACCACTAGGACAGTTACAGGTAAGACAGGATAGTACCAGGATACCACATTAGTAACATTTACAGAAAAGTCAGCATGCTACATCCAGGACACTTACAGTATTCGGGTTATAAATTGCACTGATATATGTGCTGCAGAGCCAATTTTTAACATTTTAACTTTTTTTTTTCAATTTGATCCACAAATTAGCTGCACAGAAAAATAAGCAGCGCTTCCTTATGATGTGGTAACGGTTATGTTGACCAAAGTTTGGAAGGCATTTTGTTAAGATCATCAGTTTGCAAATGAATTATACACAGATAATTCTTTATTTTACTGAGGTGTTCCAAAAACCTAAGAAAGCAATTATTTAACTTCTTTGGCTTGGGAGCCTTCAGAGATTGTCTACGCACAGATGTAGGGCCTGACGTTATGTGTGGTTTACTAAATTTCTCCATCAGTCTCTGTACTGTTAAATATTAGCGAAGGCCCTTGCCTGGTGACAAAATTCTTATAAGTCCCATATTATTTCTTGTGAGTTACCGTAAGTAAGTAGTACTGTTAAGTAATGACAGGACACAGATTAAAGTTTGATTGCTTACTTACAAGTTATGACATTTAATCAAAGACAATGGGACATTGTGTGATGTTCACTGCCCCCATTGCAGTAATGGCATGTAACTTAGACTGATTTATCAGACTGTGAAAACAATCGGAGGCAATCCGATCACTTGTATGATGATTTCACTCATTCCCAAAGCGTCACCTTTCAGTTTTAAGCATAAAAGCATTAGAAACATGGTGATTTATCTGTAAATCATGCGTTCTTTTGATTCAGACTAGTTGTCGGCAAACACTCTTGTAATTTCTGCGACCAAAGATGTGTGATGTTAGTGCTGTCATTTCTGGACAGAATACATTATGACATTAATTTGCTTTCTTTTAAATTCATTTATGCCTATAATGTGTATGTTCCAGTCTTAAAATAATCACTGTTACACATGACGACCACTATATTGCTGGGCGTCGTTTCATTGAAAATCAATCCGTAAAATACATACACTATGTGACATGAAAGCAAAAATGTAAAAGTAAGCACGCATTGTTGATGTCTCATTGATTTCTATTAAAAGTTTTGTTTTTATTTTCCCATGAATGAAAATGCTTTAAGATAAAAATACATCTATTCATTTAAACTTGTGTTTTGGTATTTATTGAGTTTGTTTAGGTAGAAACATTTTGACGTCAACTATGGCTATGAACATGAAAACGTCAATATAACCCTTCACAAATGATTAAAAGTTTTGATGTATCAAAATGTTTTTGGTAGTCCCTTGAACTTCATAACATCAAAGCTTGACTAGCTAAGAAATCCAGTTTGTATACTAAAGTAGGTCACTGCAACCTCTTCTAGCAAATCTCAGTCACTGTTTCCAGTATGTACATAAAATCTAGAATTCAATAGAGCATAAGAATGTGATATGTGATCAATGTTGACCTCTAACTGGCTATTGACCTTGACTGTAAACAGTATAATACAGGTTTCCATAGCATATCTGAACGATTGTTTCATGTAATTAATTAATCAATACCACAAGTGAGGGTATATCTTGGCATGGTAATATCTTTATTAAGTAATGCCAATTTTGGGTGTAGGGGGTACTACCGGTAATGATTAAAGGAGTTAAAGCCAGTTTCCATGTAATGTTAACAATCATCTACATATTCTTATTAAGTTGGTCAATGAAACAATCTGATAGTGACCATAACAGATCCAAGCCATGATGAAAGCTGTTTTTTATTTTAGATATAAAGTAAGAAAAATTGTCTTGTAAAACTGCTGACCATAGCATAACAACTGAACCTTACATTGGTCATTGGATATCAGAATGCTTGGTTTCTTTATTACTGTGAAATATCCAAACAATGTTTAGAATTCAAATGAAATCAAGCAAGGATTCTATTATTACAAGAGCAGAGGTTTCAGAACAAAATTGTGTTTCATGGATGCATTGAAACATTATCAAATTATAATATTGAAATATCGTAAAGTTTCATGAATAATGATTTATATTAGTAATAATGATAATAATTGGCTTATCTACCACGGTATTCTTGATAACATGTTGAGCAATACGTTCATCTTACATATGGTCAAGAAGATAATATACAGTATTCACAAACAAAATTGCAAAATACATACAAGAATGTTATATTCAATATGGCACAGGTGGAATTTTCGACTTTTTCTGTTTCACACACACTGAATTTTACCAGACGGATACTAGTAAGATATCCTCTGGTGCCTGTGATAGGACATTTCCCTTCTGTAGAGAAGTCTCCAGTTGTGCATTATTTGGAATATGGTTCTGGTGTCCTTTGGAGTCCATTGTGGCTATAAATGCAATCTAACAGTGGAGAAACTGCATTTTTTCAATTACAGCCTTAGGCAATTGTCTCTGTAGATTGAATTGAGAAGAAAATGGTACCAATTAAGGTCTTTCCATGTGTTAAAAACAGGAATGTATCCCTTAGGAGTCCAACGATGGCATTTAGCTAGGAGCACTAGCTTGAAATATGGAACCCAGTTGAATTAAAAAAGGATTTCTTCAGGGATTCTTCTTTTACATGTGTATACACAATTGTGTTGTAAAAAACTTTGAGGATTTCAATGGGACTGCTGCCTTACAAAAACAGTGCCTTCTTTCTTTACAGAGATATTCCAGACAAATTAAGATTTTGTTATACAAATATCTACTCATGTTAAGAACACTTAAAATCAGACACAAAAAGCAATTTGTTTTATACAATGATATCTACTCATGTTAAGGACACTTACAATCGGACACAATAAGCAATTTGTGATCTTTGAATTGTAGGAATTCTTAATGGGTCTAGCTTGATTGATTTACAAAATGGTCCTCAATGCATCGCAAGCTTGTATCTGTGCAATTCAAGACAAATATGTTTATTTACTGGATTCAGTCTTTATAATGTAATTTAGTAACAAACTACTTTTCAGTAAAACTGCAGTATATGTGTTGTACCTGTTTTAAAAGTCTAATGAGAGAATTTGGTCTTTTTCCATATCATACATTATGTTACTGCTTCTTGGATCAGACATCAGTATTCTGGTTTTTCTTTGCAAAACCATCATGTGATGAATTATCAATGCAGTCTGATTGCAAAAATTGAGCATTTCTACAATACTTTGTCCAGATTTTCTTCTGGAATTATGTTGATACTGATAATATTTGAAAAGTAATTAGAGAGGGTTACATATATCCAATATTTCCACCATAAGCTTGTATATCAAATGAAAAATTTCCTTTTTTCACTTATTTAAAAAAAAAATCTAATCAATGAAGTAGGTTTGAAAATCAAACATCAAATTCAAGGCATATATTACCCCAGATTCTCGGTATTATAGAAACTGGTGTTAAGAAAGTTTATTAATTTGTTGTATTGTAAATAATACAGACATAAGAGTTTGCTCCCTTTCATTGGAGTTTTATAGTTAAACTTTGCACTTCATGACCCACGATCCGATGTTGGTGACGCACAATTTTGCCAGAATAGTGGGAGTACCACAAGTCATCAATGAATGTTCTATATTAAACAAAATTAAATCACTTTATAAAGCATGATAACGTATTTATGTATGGAATCATGAACCAGAGATTTTATCAAGTAAAACATCATTTGATCAAGATTTTCATTTCAAGAATTGCTGAGGAAAATCTTTTTTCATACAGCTTATCAGGAACTTGAATATTGTACATGCACAGTATATTGAATAGTAAGATTTATATAAAACATATTAAATTCTAACCAAAGAGACATATAAGACTTCCAAGATCATTTTGAAGCACAATATATAATAACATATAATACAATTACAACTGAACATGTGTACCAGTGATGTGTGATATCATTCTTTGTGATAGTGGGTTAAAAACCAAGTACAAATTACAAAGTCATGTATTGTAGATTATTACATTAATACTGATTGATTCATTTATTGCAAATTCCTCAGCAAAATCATAATATCTGCTATCAATTATTTCATCATTTAGTTTCATTATTTTGTTATGCTTTGTTATGTTTTGTTACCGTTTTGTCCATCCATCAGTCCATCTGTTTGTCCGTCCGATTGTCAGTCCATCATAAATTTTTTCCGAAGGTTAACACAAAAACTTTAAGAGATATCAACATAAAACTTCATAGGTAGATGGATCTCAAAAAGGAGATGTGCAGTGCATCACTCTCTTTTGCATGATTTAGGAGTTATTGCCCTTTGTCATATTCATACTTCAATTCTGTCCCATTTGGGGAGC